AATGTTTGCATGTTAGATTATACTTGTTGTCTGTGTGATACTTGTATGTGCCTGGTAAAGAGGTGAGTGTGGGCGAGGTCCTGTATCCCATCACTAGCTGAGTACGGACGATGTTCCGTATCTCATTATTAGCAGAGTATGTTTCTTAGGACAGGGATACAGTAGAGTATATTTCTTTATGTGTTGGCATGGTATATGATAGTATGTGTTTAGCCGGTGGAGCCCAGAGACAGGCGGGGCCTAAGAGAGATAGATTTGTATACCGAACGGGGCTCGATGTCAGGCAGAGCCTGATGTCGAGCGAGGCCTGATGCCGGAGTATTAAATTAATGGTTTCATAATTATGGTTTTAATATTAAATTAAAAACAAAATTTTTGGTCATGATTTTTGGGATGTTACACAGTTAAAACAAGTTAGTTGTTTTTTTTTTTTTTATGTACAACAATAACTTTTTAATAATAATAATAATAATAATAATAATAATAATAATAATAATAATATCAAAATGCCACAATATGTTCCATGTCAGTAAGCCCATCAACCACATTAGTTTAAGCCTTCAAATGTAAGTGGTGGAAATGCATAAGAGTTTATAAATAGACAACACATAATAGTTCAGTCGTCAATCAAATGGTCAAACTCAGCAATTATCTCGTCAAAAGATTAGTTAGCCAAATGACAGCCCTATAATCAAATCAAAATTTATAAGTTGACAATATATAATAGTTCTAATATAATGTATAAGTCCTCGATACATTAAATAAGCTTTGTTTCTATATGAACATTAATGAGATGGAACTTTAACCAAAAATTAGGAACGTACCCTTGCAGTAGCAATTGTCCTTGACCAAATATTCTTTAAAGCCCAAGCTCACCCCCTTCTTCTCCACCAAGCTGGTCACACTCTAGATACCTTCATCCTTTAACACACCACCACTCCACCGAAACTTATATATGAAATACCAAACTTTTTTATATCAAGCCCATTCATTTCCAAAAGAGTATTTTCAAAATTATTATGCAACTACTTTGTCACCTTAACTTTTCACTTCATTTAAAATATAATCCAACTTAATGTTGCTAAAAAATAATACTTGACAACATCATAATTCCCCTTCCACTTGCCATATTGTACAAAACATTGTTTCCCTCCAAATCCAAGCCACAAAATTAAGCTTTCGGTTCCTTCTTTTTGAAATTTAGTTGTTAAACACAAACAGACATAGTAAACAGATCATGTATACACACACCTAATTTTTATGTACAATAAAGAGAGGAACAGAAAAAGGAAACACACACCTGATTATTTCTTTTCTAAACTGGGATTTAGGGCTTGTTTAATTAGGAAGACCGGTGCATCACTGCTGCCATCACACCTACCACCAAAACCACATTATACCGCCACCATTTTAGCCCACCTTAATCACCACCCACCACTATCCTTTAATATCATGATGCAAAATATGAAAAATAAATAGCTTCTAAATAATAAGCTGTCGAATTAGAGAACTTACCTTACATCATGGCACACCTATGCACACTTGTACATTTTTTGAAAATGAATACACAGACCCACAGATACTTCAACAACCGTAAGTAATTTTGAAACACCTACATCAGAAAGAGAGAATTCAGAAATCAAGATATGTATAAGTCAAGCACATCCATATGGGTTTGCGTTACTTTCCAAGTTTCAACCATGAAAAAGATGAAACTAAATCAATAATATGGACAATCCGAATATATGAAGCAAACAAAAAGATGAAATCAAACGGATAAGCCACAGATAATCCATTAGGGAAATATCTGATGGTCTGACCCATCGCCAAAGATGGAGGAGAATGACGACTAAAAGTCACCATAACATCCTGAAAGCCAGAAACAGATGAGGAAGGTGAACATACGTTATTAAAGCATATGTTATTGGCATAAAATGAGAGAAATGGGAAAAATAAAACTGGCTTCGTGTTCAGTAAGATAGAAAGGGTAAGCAGGGTGTTTTACCTCATCGAAGTCGAGATAGAGTTGTAGGGATATTGGTCGATGATTGGTAAGCAGATGATCAAGAAGAACGCAGGAACAATTGATGACAACAAAAGGGATGAATGGTTTGCGGTATTAATCGCCATATATAAGGGAAGGCAGTCGAGAATCAACAGATATTAGCGACGATATCAGGATAAAATGTGTTGACCGATTCAATCTTCAATATTGGCTCTACTTTGAAATATTCAATTTGGTTAGATTGAAATATAAGGATAAAAAGGAGATTTGTTAAGAAATTGATCATTTTACGGGATAAGATTTATTTGTTTTCAAATGCATAAGTTTGTACACATTGCAGCATGAATCGTACCTCTTAAAATTCAGCATTTTAGACGACTAAATGCTTATTACGGGGTATATAAGCTTAGGTACTCAAACTCACCATACCATGCCATTTTGTATCATATATATAGATTGTGATTATCCAATGTTCTTATAATTAAACTTCTAATTTGATTTACTTCCAAAATTTTTATAATTTTACATTTATCTTCCTCTCATATAATTTTCATTTTAAATTATAATATATATATATATATATATATATATATATATATATATATATATATATATATATATATATATATATAACCTAATAGGTGTTCGGTAAAAAAAATATGATGTAAGAGAAAGATAATAGTGAAAATTTGAAAATCTTGAAAGTAAATCAAGCTAGGATTGATATCTAAGAACATTATAATGAATATATAAAAAAAATGACATTTTATAATGGGTTTGGGTACCTAAACTTATATACCCTTAAGAGTATATTCACTTTTCCATATATATATATATATATATATATATATATATATATATATATATATATATATATATATATATATATATATATATATATATATACTTCATTTAGTGTTTTTTTTTCTCGTATTAGTCGTTCCAAATAAAAATATGATATAATATGATCATATCTAGTCTTAAATCTCATATTAACAAAAATTAGAAATTATATCATATACTTTATAAAAAAATGATATAATATGATCATATCTAGTGTAAAATAAATAGGATGCTAATATAGACCGTACTCATATAAACAAAAATCAAACACACTCCTACATATATAATCAATAAATAACATTAGACTAGTTGTGCACCTCTAATATATCTAAAACCTAAAGATGTGTACGGCACCATATTAATTAATTATACCATGATAAAAGTGAGATCAAATAACGACAATACATAAAGAATAGTATCATGAATTCTTAATATATCTTGATTTATTAGCTCCTCATATAATAATAGTAAAAGAAAAGAAGTTAGTAACAAATAGAGAAATTAAATTACATTCTACTATTTCTTCCTACTAACATTCCTTCCCAATTAACTTGTCTTCCTTATATCATTCCATGTAATTTTCTTTTATATCTCTAAAATACCTTTAAGTAATTAAAAAAAAACAAAAAGAAAAAGAAAAAAGAAAAAAACCTCACATCGTTAGGTCTCTTGTTTATCCTCAGTACATCTCAAAGCCCCTCTTCTCATCCATTAATCACTACTTCAACCGGAAATCGCTACTTCAATCGGCGATGGCTACTGCAATCGATATCTTCAATCGTTGCCACCTGGTCTTCAATCGCCACCGCCGACCGCCGATCGCTTCCTCCTGATCTTCAACAATGGAACGACGCCACCCAATCTTCAATCGCCACCACCAATTCTCGTCTTCTTATCACCGCCGACCGCCGATCGCTTCCTCCTGATCTTCAAACGACAATGAAACGGCGCCACCCAATCTTCAATCAACTTACCTGAGCATCGCCGCCTATGTGAGAATTTAAGGCTTCTTTTTTCTAAATTTTATATTTTGAAGGTTGGCTTCCAACAAGATATCTACTTGGATAAAAAATCTACAACCTTTTCTGATCCTGCTCAGTATGATACAGAGAAAATTGGATACTTATGTTTCATCGCAGAATGCATTGATTATTGGGGTTCTACCCATAGCCAAACTTTTTACCATATGGAGTTCTTTGAAGCAACATCAACAGAAGCAAAGTCAAACTAGATGAAGCTTTAGTTTTATTATAAATAAGGATACATATTCCATTAGTTCAATAAGTAAAGTGATTGTTTTGTTGAAATTGTTTGATCTTCTAGAGCAATGTACTTATATGACAAAGGTTTGATATAGCAATGTACTTACATGAGTTGTATTTTTGCACCTGGAAAAAAATGTATATTAGGTTCAATGATAAAGTACAATTCTCTGATATTTTAGAGTACTAAAAAACTGTAGAATCTGTTTTCTTGTTTGTTGAAGCTTTTGTGTTGTGTACAAGTTTCTTCTGGTTATTTTCTTTGACAGAAATACCACCATTGCAGGTTAGCTTTTATTAAAGAAAAGATGTACACTAGATGTTTGATTTTCTTGAAAGAAAAAAAGAAGAAGATTGTATTGTTTGACTAAGAAGATGTCACACCCCCGAACCAGACGGCGGAAACGTCCGAGGGCTATCGTGACTCATTGAACACCATCACAATGCATATACATGAAACATAACATTATACATCACCAACATTTGGAATGGTACAACTGGTAACGTTACATTCATTACATTGTTCAAAACATTACATTCTCAAAAAAAATAGACAAAACTGCGAATTTGGTCCTTGTGGTTTGCCAAAACCTTTGGATAGGGTCCAAATAGTTTCCAGCTTGCACCAAAGGTCCAAAATCAAGGTTTTCTTGGGTTTTTAGTCCATTCTGTCATTGACCGTTTGTTTGGAGCCGTTAGTGCCTTCACGTGCCCTCCATGTGAGGGCATTTTGGTCATTTTAGGTCAACCTCCGTTGCCACCACTTCAATTAATAAGAGTGCAGACTGTACTCACTCCTTCGTCTTCTACTCATTCCTCACTCCTTCGTCTTCTACTCATACCTCTTGATTCAAACGCAAAAACCCTAACGATCATCTGAAACTTTGAAAATGTGGGGACTTAGAAATGTTAGAGAGATTGTCAACGTTCAAGAAGTTTATGGTAAGATTCAAACTTAGAAAAACTCTGTATTTTATGATCAAGCTTCAAACTTTGAAAAACTCTAACTAATAATCGTCTCTTTCTGTTTTGAAGATGGTTACCTCAACATATTCTCTATTGAACTTCATCACGGAGGGAGTTTCACAAAGTTTCCAAATATCAGGTATATTAATGGCCAAGTAAGGTACTTTGATGTTGTCGACATTGATGAATTTTCTGTTCATGAACTAGACTCGATGATGAGAGAATTAGGGTATGATGGTACTGAAATCATGTATTACCATTTCCGTTTGCCTAATGAAGGATTTGACTTTGGACTCCGAGCATTAGGTAACGATGATGATGTGCGTAATCTCTCACGATATGTTACCCATAATAACAAAATGATTAAAGTGTACACAGAGCATGGTCAAACGAACTTGCTTACATATTTTATGTCCCCAACTGGTCCAAAAGGGTTATAATAGAAGACATGGAGAAGCAGGATTGCATTAGACCCTCATCACCTGTAGTTGCTCATGAAGTGGTAACTCCAATCCAAATTGATGTTGGTGAGGGTGATTTAGGGTTAGCATTAACCTTATACAAATCAGCAACACCTGAATTTAGTAGGTCTAAAGGTTGGAAACATAGTAAAGGGGCATCGTCTTGTAGTAGAATGCTTAAATTGGATTGGGAAGGTGCTGAAAAAACAATGGCAAGTGGTGAAGTTGATAAGGGTAAGGGTGTAGAAGGATTTGTAGATGAATTTGTTGTAGTTGATGCAGAAAAAGAGTTAAACAAAGAGATTGATGTGAATGAAGAACTTGATGTGAACAAATCCAATGGTGAGGGTGTAGAAGGATTTGCAGATGAGGGGTATAGAGTTGTCATGGATAATGATCCTCAAGGAGTCAATGAATTTTCAACTAACATCAACATAGATGATGAGTTAATGACAAACTTTCAACCTTTTGAAGGGTTTGAAGACCAAGATAGCATCCCATTTAATGGGTTTGAAGGCCAAGATAATATTCCTTTCAATGATGAGTGCAGACAAGAGGAGCCTGATGACATTGAGTTTGAGAATCAAAACAGTGAAGATGAAGATAGTGACTTTATGATTGATGAGGACAACATAATTGAAGATGTTGACGTTGACATGGAGGATTTCAATCTAAATATTGATATAGAAGCAGAGTTCAATGGATGTCAAAGAATGGGTGGTCAAAGAAATGAAGATAGTGTTGAAGAAGATGATTTGGAGGTAATTGACAATGACGAGTGGGATTCACTAAGTGATGACTCAGGGGACAACAGGAAAAGAAGAGAAATGATCAAAGAGCTGGGGAAACAAACCTTATGTTCTGCTGGTGAGGTGCACAAGGTAGCTTTTCATATTGGGCAGAAATATAAAGCCAAGAAAGAATTGAAAGATAAAATTGACCTGCATGCTTTAGAGACAAGGAGGAATATCTCATTCACAAAAAACGACAAGAGTAGATTAACAGCTGTTTGTGATGGAACTGTAGTTTTAAATGCAAGTGGGGTAGGTGGACCTACCTCTGGGAAAAAGGTAAAGGGTAAAGATGTAAACTCAGATAAAGTTAAATGCACATGGAAACTTCATGCATCTAGGTCAAGTGAACAGGACTATTGGTTTATTAAGACTATAATCAGAAACACATCTGCCTCCAAACACGAAAAATCAGATCTTGCACAGCAACATTTCTTTCCAAACGTATTATGGATCAGATTGAAGCTAATCCTGGACTGCCTGTTCGTGCCCTACAAGAGCAACTCCAATCAACTTATGGAGTTAGTATTTCAGAAGAGAAAGCATTTAGGGCAAAAGCATTAGCCACCAAAAATGTTGCAGGGGATTACGTAAAGCAATATGCAGCTTTGAGAGACTATGTACTAGAGCTACAAAAGACAAATGAAGGTACAACTGTAAAGATTGATGTGGTTTCAGAACCTGTGGTTTCATCCCCAACCAGGCAATTCAGAAGGATATACGTGTGTTTAGGTCCTTTGAAGAAAGGTTTTAAGGCAGGTTTGAGAGAATTTTTAGGCTTAGATGGAGCCTTCATGAAGGGACCTTTCCCAGGTCAAATACTAAGTGCAGTTGGTGTTGATTCCAACAATGGAACCTACCCATTGGCATATGTTGTTGCTGAAAGTGAAAACACTTCAAGTTGGAAATGGTTTCTTCAGTGTCTTGCAGAAGATCTTGACTTGTATTCAAATTCCAACTTCACCTTTATCAGTGATAGACAGAAGGTACTATAGTTACATTTAATATTGCATACTAGTTTCATTACAAACTAATGATAATTTCTTATTTTGTTTTGGTGACAACAGGGTCTTCTACCAGCCATAGAACAATTGTTCCCTAATGCAGAACACAGGTTCTGTATTAGACACATATACCAGAACATGAGGATGTTATTTAAGACTACAGAGTACAAGGAGTATTTTTGGAGGTGTGCTACAGCCACCACCATACCAGAGTTTGAAGCTGTAATGGTAGAGCTAAGGAATTATGACATAGAAGCATATCAATGGCTCTTGAAAATCCCTCCACATCATTGGGCTAGAAGTCATTTTTCTGGTATTTTCTCAATTTGTTGTCTTATTTTTTATTGTAGTATAGATATACACTAACTGTTGTTTTGTTAATGAACTATTAGGAAGGGCAATTTCAGACATGTTATTGAATAACCTTTGTGAAGTGTTCAATAGCAAACTTGTAAAAGGGAGAGACAAACCCATTATCAGTTGTTTGGAGTTCATCAGAGAGTACCTTATGAAGAGAGTATGCAATGTGATGAAGGTGTTAAACAAGTGTCAAGGTCCATTAACTCCAACTGGTACTAGGATTTTGGAAGCAAACACAACACTAGCTAGTAAGTATCATGCACGATGGAATGGGGGACAAAAGTATCAGGTTAAAGGTCCATGGAATGATCAACATGTGGTGGACATGGAGAAAAGGGAGTGTAGTTGTAGAAAGTGGGAGCTTACTGGAATTCCTTGCAAACATGCTATTGCAAGCCTAAATGAAATGGCAGACAACAATGAAAAGGTAGGAGAACTATACACCTATGTGCATAAGGTGTATTGGCTTGATACATGGAAAGAGATGTACTCCTTCAAGGTGGAGCCTATCAAAGGTAGAGCCATGTGGCCTAAGAGTGACTGCCCAACAACTCTTGTGCCTCCACCACACAACAAAGCTATAGGCAGGCCAAAAAAGAAAAGAAGGATTACAGCAGAGGAAAGGATTGAAATCCAGCAACGTAAGAGGCAAGCAAACAGTCAAAGTCAAAATGATAATGAAACTCAATCACTGAGCAGGAAGTTTTTGACTGTGACATGTAGTAAGTGTAAGCAAAAGGGTCATAATGCCAGGACCTGCAAGGCCAAAGATGGGAATTGATGTTTAAGTACTTTTTATGTTTGTCAAGACTTGTTAATGCACTTTAGTTGGTACTTTGTTGCCTTTTTTTTGTTCCATTTTGATAATGTACTTTGATGCCCTTTTGATAATGTACTTTAATGCCCTTTGTTGGTAATGATTGTGTTTTGACATTTATCTGTTATGGTCCCCTTTTGGTAATGTTTTTGTTATTTGTTTATGTTGTACTGTCAAAGCATGAAGATGTTATGGCAATGTACTTAATGTATGCATATAAAACCATTACAATTGCATATTCAAACGTAGAGAAAAACCATTACACTTGCATATCATGTCAAGATCAAACCTTTATAATTTCATATTCATAAAAGGATAAAACCATTACACTTCCCATTGTCATAAAAGCATTACATATACAATGATCCAAAAGATAACACTTTTAAGTGGTTACTACCAACAAAAACATATATAAACCACAATTAAACCTTCTAGCACCAAAAGACAACATTTTTAAGTGGTTACTACCAACAAAAAAGTCCTAACCTCTAATTCCTATTTCCAAAACAGCACAAACAACAGAAACAAAACCCACGAGACAAGCAAACACATCTTCAGCTGGCCCACTTCAACCTCATACCTATTCATTGTTCTCAACAGTCCTGGTATGATAACAGTTGATCTTTGACACATAGGGGGATCGAACCACCCCAAAAATGCACATCTGGATCCCTACAAGAATACATTAAAGTAGAAGAGTTATTGCATAACTACCGAAATATCATAACCTAATATGAGTTTGCTAACCATTTTAGGGCATGCATAGAAACGACGACCAGGGTTTCGTGAAGTCCATGAGGTTCGCACAACAGCAACATTCCCACAGAAGCAGAGCACCATTTTTGAATCTCGTAGCAGTAGAAGTAGACGAGAGATGAAGAAGAAGAGACGAAGTAGAAGAGGAAGAGGATTCTTCTCTGTAAATAAAAATGAAGAAGAGGAAGAGGATTGCGTATATGTATATAAAGGAGAAATATGATATTATTTAAAATAAGTACCTAAAATGACCAAAATGCCCTCACATGGAGGGCACGTGAAGGCACTAACGGCTCCAAACAAACGGTCAATGACGGAATGGACTAAAAACCTAAGAAAACCTTGATTTTGGACCTTTGGTGCAAGCTGGAAACTATTTGGACCCCATCCAAAGGTTTTGGCAAACCACAAGGACCAAATTCGCAGTTTTGTCAAAAAAATAACTGTTTGATACTACTTAAACCACAGCAAAACGTCATAGAGTACAAATCATCCTTCACCTTATCTGTTACCTGAGAATACAAGTATTTTGAAAACGTCAACATATGAAATGTTGGTGAGTTCATAAGTAGTGTTTGAAATCCAATGTATTGTTTGAAAACCATCAGAAAATCCGATATTTTCTAAAAATAGAATAGTGTAAAAATATGTGATGATCCATGAGTATGCTTGTTTGAATTCTATAGATGTAAGCGTAAGAGTTGTGAAATTCGACCGGTAATTCATAATTGTAATTGTTGAAAACCCTAGGAAAACCCGACGTTTTCCTATCACTTTGCTTTACTTAGTTTGTGTACCGTTGTTTCGTTGCGTTAGAGGAAACCGTTGAGCTCCGGAGGCATTGAGAATACAGTGGGTGGTGAAGTGTTGTGACGTGCGTTAATGAAAACGTCCAATCAACAACCTTACAAGCGATCCCTTAGGCGTCACTCGTAATCCTTCACACAACTCAATCCTCCCGGACTTGTGTAGTCCCACGACCGGAGGGAAGAAGAGAAGGTGCGAAACCCTCGGTATTTCCCCGCGTCGTTCAAGACCATTGCAATTGCGAAGGGCCCGAAGCCCAACCCGCAATCGTGAGTTACAGACTTTACTAGCAGCACTGAAGGACCCTTGGGGACCAGCAGCATGTTTGCCATTGAAAGTCCTTTTACGTTATGTCGGATCGGTAAAACCCAACACTTCGTAAGAGAGAGGTCTTCGGGCCTTAAGATCAGGTCATTGGGCTAGCTAGGCTCAACAAACAAGATT